TTATAGCAAAGGGGGCAAAGATTTTATTGAAATTGAACAGACTAGTTTATACAAGAGGTTTGTATCGCCCTTATATTAGGCTTGTTGGATTTTACGAATTATGATTACAAATACTAACTATAAGTTATTACCTTATATTTCATGCACTTGACTATCTATAATTAAATCAAATAAAATAAATGTCATAGTAAATATCACAAAACTTTGTCCCTACAGAAAAGTTATAATAAATAAATAATTCTAATCTTAATATAGTCTAAAGCAAGAAGAGTTGATAAGTATTTTACCTTCGGATATCTACAATGAGCCAATATAACAATAATAATTAAAATAATACATCAATTAATATTCCAAGCAATTTATATTTCATTTCCTCCCAAAAACTTACTTTAAAAATAAAAAATTAAATTATAAAGTGCTTTCTGCCATTATATACATATTGCAGTATAATTTCAAATAACTTACTATTAATTTTGAGTCCATATGAGGAATCTAAATACTTTGTATAATTGTTAGTTGAAATTATTGAAGTGTCCTTATTTTTTATTAATGATCCTGTATCACTGATTACTGATATTTGATAATGATCAGTTGGTGCCAAAATTTCAATTTGCAATAAATATTGTGAAGATGATGTTGATGGATCATATTGAATTCGATTTGTTAAACATAATCTTCCAGGAGTAGTAGGAATACTTTCAATAAGTTTATTAAGTAAACTATCTAAAAATATAAATTTTTCATATTTAGAAAGAGAATCATACGTTTTAGTTCCATCATAAGTTAAGTGTACTACAACTGTAGCTGCACCTTTAGAAATAATAATATAAGCATCGTATATACAGTATATAAAATAATCATATTATAAATAGAATATTTCAATATTACCAAAATACAATGACTCTGGATTTGTTTCTGTACAAAAAAAAGGTACAGCACTCATTAATTTCATTAATTGTAAATTCATTTAATCATTCAAATAAACTTACATGAAATTGTATTAAATATCCATATATTTTCTGTAATACCATAAATAGGTTCACCCATTGATGCAAATTTTACAAAATTGTTGTCGACCACAATTATATAAGAAGAACCTATCGATTAATGATACTTTGCAAAATATTGCATAAAACTGTATTATTTAAAATAGTACAGTTTTCTGAATTTGCAGAATAAAATTGTCTTATTTTATTTTGATTGGTAGTTGTATTAATTTGATAGATATAAAGATTATTCAATAATTTAGAAATCTGATTTGAAAATGTTATACTTATATAACTTATATTTGGTGAAATAGTATCATTAATTTTTGGATATGTTGAAATAACTTGGGATTTTCATAGCCGACTAGAATTTTTGCATGTAAAATTAATAAGTAAAATGAATATTTAAACTTATGCAAATAATTAATTACAACCTACTTACAGTCATTTCTGAATTTTTTCATATTTATGCTGAAAATGTCCCAACTAGTGTTCTGGATACTAGAATTATATACAACATACAATATATATGTATTATTTTTCATCATGTCAAACATAGCTCTTGAAAATCTTGAAATTGGGTTTAAATCCTATTTGTATTCATTGCCATTAAGTGGAATAATATGTCCAGTCAAATTAGAAACATATTGGCTATCATTACCCTGTACAAATGCTATGGGCTATATGGCGTTCCAACTAGTTATAATAGATCCTCCATAAAATAAAGGCAAAATATAATATGCTTCATTGAAAATGTTCATATATCATATATTTAATTTAATGACAGAACCAGACGACAAGAAATCAATTTGATATGTTGTCACAATTGATTGCATAAAAGATTCAACTAATGTCACCATGCATACATTTCTATTTTCACTGTGACTTGGTGAACAAGAAATATATATTAAGTTCATGTTTTTCGCATAATAAAGCAAAAAATTTTCAGAAATATTATGAGTTGAGAAAGATAAAAAACTATAATATAGATATAATGTTCGTACAGATGTATTATTATAATTATCATATGATACTTCTGTTGTAATAAATCCAAAACTTCCATCAACCATTGAAAATACAGACTGAAGAGTCGAATTAATTGAAAGGTTGAAAGAGTTTCTGACAGTATCATGTTGTCTAAAAATTTTATTTTAAATCAAATAACATACAAATTAGAAACAGAATTAGTTTGTTGAACTACTATATTTCAAGCTGAATAGTATATAGTATTACTGTACATAATAACTTACTGTAAATTATATAAAATCCAATTAATGCTATTTTCAAATTGACTATAGATTAAAAAAGAAGACAATCGCGTGTCTAAAATAAGATTTAAACTTGGATTATTCGTAATGTTCCCATTTGCTATAAAAAGATTACTATTAAAATACAAATAACAAATTAATATTTATAGACAAATTATGATATGAAAAATTATTGATATGGAAAATTTAAAGAAATAACAAACTCTTTTATAATTTGACTATTCCAATCTATTAACATTCCAGTGACCTGCTCACTACCATCAACAGTATCATCATAAAGCAGAAAATAATACTTCATAGTTAAAGGGAATATACGACTGATATTGATACTTTTGTTTGCAAAATCAAGGTTTATGTACGTTGCAGTTCCATTTGGAAAGAGTATATAAATGGTTTTATACCGATTGTTGTTATTATCATCGAAGATCTTAAGCACAAGTCCACCATCATAACTTGAATTTACATCAAATTTCTTATAACGTAGATCACCTTTGCTGCTCGAATAAATAATATTATACTCAGATACAGTAAAATTACATAATAAAATAATAAAACAGTAAAAAAACAGAAGGCTTTTAGCCGAATTATTGTATTGGAAAATCATAATCAGTGAATAAAGTATGTTTGTCGGCAAGCGTTTATTGCCGAGAGCGAAAGGAGATTTCGTATTTTTATGCACTTTTGATAAAATCTCAACGTAGTTACAGCACTCTCCATTCGTAAGCCATATGTCTAAATTTGTAATATAATAATCTTAGTGTAATATAATAATAAATAAAGAATGCTTACATCAATAGGCTCGGATTCCAGTCTTTTAGGCTTTTTTTGATTGAAAATTAATTTTAGAAATCATGTAAAGTTCGAAACGCAATAGAAAAATTATATGGGCCTTAACTGCTTCTAGAATTAAAATGAGTTCTTGCAAGATCCGAATATATGGAGGTTTGAAAAATAATGAACCCAGTGATATCTTCATGATTATCACATCACATTATTAAACGCTCGGCCCAAGTTAGGGTTAGTGCTAGAGTTAGGTGATGATTTGGTTTAGGCCGATCTGTTTAGTGCTAGTAAACAAATAATGTACATATTTTGTATGATTTCGCATGATGTGATGTTCCTCACGAGTCGCTAAAGGAAACTTGTACACTCTACCCTCGTTATAACGGACCCTTCGGACTGAAAGATTTTGTCCATTATATCCATAATAAATGAATATCCGTTATAATGTAATATAATATAGTAATAATAATTTT